GAGGTGAGGGCGGAAAAACAGGCCTTTTCTGAAGCAAACGATGCAGTCCTCTCCGCTCTTGCCCAAGGGTGCAGTTCTGACGCATATCGGCTGATGCTTCAGCGCAGGGCTCTTGCACGCAGTGACGCCGAATTGAACGGCGGCCGCTCGAGGGTGGAGGCGTGCGCTCGTCGCATAGCTGATTCGCTGATCGGAGCAGGGTGCGAACCGATGTCTTAGGCAGCTACTGAAAGGTTGAATGCAATGGACAGAGTATTGACAGATGAATTGGTGTTGTCCCGAGAGCAATACCCATGCGATGCCTGCAATTGGTGGGACCGCTCGAATTACAGCCTGGATGACTGTGAAACCCGTGAGCAGCGCCTGATCGTTGAAGCCGCGCAGGCCGATGGCTGGCTCATTCTGCCGGGGCAGTTGTACCGCAAAGTGACGGGCATTTCCGAGGGGCGAATGACCATTTACAGGGCGCGGCCTGGGATGCAAAGTGTCATCGAACAAATGAAATTGTGTGATGTTTGAGTCCCCCAATATCAAACGATGCACGCACAGATCGCCAGGACGGTGGTCACGCCAAAAAGACCAATTTTGGGACGACCACGAAGAACAGCCCGAGTGGGTAGAAGGCAAGTCCACCCAGGTGGATATCAGCGTTGGCGCATTCCGGTGCTTGCAGTGCGGAGAAGTTGGCTACTACACAGGAAGTTGGCGGAAATATTACGAGCAAGGTGTTCCTTGCTTTGGTTCGGAGGGCGTGTCTCGTAACTTGTCCACCATCAAACAACAAATCGAAAGTACTTCGTGAGCGATACAGAAGCCAAAATGCCCGCCTACAACGGCGCACAAATCAAAGTCCTGGAGGGCTTGGATGCGGTGCGCAAACGCCCAGGCATGTACATCGGCGACACCGGCAAGAAGGGCTACCACCACTGTCTCTGGGAAATCGTGGACAACTCCATTGATGAGCACATGGGCGGGTTCTGCGGGCGCATCGACGTGACCCTACACGCTGATGGCTCAGCGTCTGTTAAGGACGATGGCCGCGGTATACCGGTCGATATTCACCCGACCCAGGGCATTTCAGCAGCGACCGTGGTTATGACCGTCCTGCACGCGGGCGGGAAGTTCGAAAACGAATCGGGCCAGAGTGCCTACAAGACATCGGGTGGTCTGCATGGCGTGGGCGCCTCGGTTGTCAATGCCTTGTCCGAAC